GGCACGAGTGTAACCATGGGTAACAGAAACTGTCCTAGTATTGCGCTGAGGGCTTGCCATCCTTGATGAGCTGGGCTCACCTTTATGCGCATATAGCCAACCAGTCCACGGACCTTCCTCTTAGAGGGACCTCGTCCGGTTAGTCGCGAGGGCACGTGGCGCGTCCCAGGTGGTGGATAGGAGAAATAAACGCGAACCAAAAGCGACCGTGTGCTTCACAGAGACGTAGGTGGATTCAAAAGGTAAGCTCCTGCTTCTGCAGCGCCAATTTGACAAAACTCTATTCATACGAGTCAAATCGGTCAAAAGCTTGCAATCAAACGGCTATGAAGTACATGGAAGGCGGTTAGGAGTCGCCTTCAACAAATAAGCTCCTCCCGCTCCTCCGACAGAGACTGGCAAGCTACTTGTAAGAACGCAGCCCCCAAGTTGAGAGCGTAGTAAGCTATACGTTGGGTATCAAAATGCCAAAAATAGTAACAAATATGGACCTCATTCTCCTGACCCCGAAAGAGCCTCTGGTACGGCAGCGCCAGATAGGACGAGTACGGAGAAGCTGCTAAAATCTCAGGGTCGAACTAGGCTGCCAAATTCGAAACGGACTAAAATGACGATCTATATCTACAATGAAGAACCCTTGCTCACGAATTCGATGTAGGAGGTCTGTAGATTTAAGCAAAAAGAATAAGGTGCGACGTTATTGGCCTGGCTGAGACGAGAAGGCGCCATCCTTTTCACGCTGTTTATGACACCGGAGAAGAACTATTCCTTGGAACATGCGATAATAGAGGTGTTGGCGGCGTTGGCTTCCTCGTCAAACCGATTTGACCGTGAACATTGATTCATTTGAACAATTAACACCCCGTATCCGACGATTACGGTTGAAACGATGTGGTTCAATGCCGGCTTTGACCATCTTCGCTGCTTACGCACCAACATCAAGCCATGACAAAGAGGAAGACGAAGCGTTCTATATGGACCTCTACAAATTCTTCAAAAAAGACCATACCTTCATCAAGCTCGTTGTTGGAGATTTCAACGCGAAAAGTGGACCTAGAAGGACGTCTGGAGAACGTCACATAGGGACCCACGGACTAGAATGGAATGAACAGGGTGAGAGGCTATCTGAGTTTATCATGACGACCCAAACATCCATGGTAACTCGCAATTCCAAGAGCCTCTCTCTCAGCGATGGACGTGGGAGTCTCCAATGGAGAGTACCATAACGAAATAGATCACATCTGAGTAAATCGTAAGGTTTGCCTGACCGATGTCGCTGTTGTTCCAAGTTCTACACGGATCAGACCATCGCCTACTTCGCGCAACGTTCCGTTTTTCGAGGAGAGGAGAGAAAGCCGCTAAATTCAAACAACGAAGTCCCAGAAACTACCATAAACTGGGATGTATTCAAATCATTAGTCGGCTCTTGGGAAGATACAGTTGTCGACAACATCGACGAAGAATACGATCGACTCGTTGAATATCTTCACGTTAGCCCTATGAAAGCCGAGAGTCCTAAGGTCACGAAGAGACGCTTGTCTCCGCAGACACTCGAGCTGATACGTCAACGTGGAATCGCACGAGCTGCAGGCAACCGAAACCTTACGTCCGAACTTGCGAAACGCTGCAGAGAAGCGATAAAAGAAGACCTCAAAGAGAGAAGAGCAGCAGTTATGGCAGAAGCTGCAGAAGCTGGGAAGAGCATTCGCAAAGCCCAGCGAGGCTTCGCCAACTATAAGACCAAGATGATTGCACTCCGATACCCTGACGGGACACTTACAGCTTCGAGAAGGGCTATGGAGAAAATCATCCACCAATACTCTCGGATCTCTTCGCTAGCCATGTTCTCCTACCGTCATATAAATTGAAAGAGGACGAATATGTCGTTCCACCGGTCCTCCCTTCCGAAATCCGACATGCTATATCGTCGGTGAAGAACAGAACAACACCTCGTCCAGACAGGGCTAGACCACGACACCTGGAAAGCCTACCGCCAGTCTATCAACACCCTAGCTCGGCTCTTCACTCTCTACCTGTCAGAATGCAAGGTCCCATTCAATGGAAAACCAGCAAGACCGTATTGTTGTTCAAAAAGGGACACCTTCACGACATAGGCAATTATCGCCCATACTGTTTGCTGTCCGTTCTCTATAAACTCGACCATCATCCTAAACTGGATTGACAGAACACTGGACGAAGGACAGCCTTGCAAACAAGCAGGGCTCGGAAAAGATTTACTACCATGGACCACATCCACACGATTACAAGACTCACTGAAGTTTCACGAGAGTACAAACAACCGCTCTGTCTCACTTTCATCGATATGAAGAAAGCCTTTGATTCAATGGAAACAGAAGCGGTTATGGAGGTTCTGGATAACCAAGGGCGTCCCTACGCGATACATAATAATCCGTCGTGAGCTAGAAGATTTCACGACAAAAATGCCTCCATTCTAAAACAATATCGCCACCGACGTAAGAAGTGGGGCTCGACAAGGTGATGCAGTTTTGCCAAAATTATTCACTGTCACCCTCCAAAATGTCATGCGAACATCAGAATGAGATGATATGGGAATGAAAACTGACGGTCAACAAACCTAGCTTCTGTTCGCTGATGATATCGCCCTAATACCCTTTCCCGTCTTTTGCTCAAAAATGGTTATTAGGCTATTATTAGTAAATGTAGTCCTAAACAAAAAATTTGACAATCTCTTGAGCAAATCACAAAAAACAGCTTCCACAAGATATCAAGGTACTTTTCAAGAAAGTCCCAAAACTCGATCTGTGCTTGATAATGTGCCAGAAAAATCAAGGGTTACCGTATTGGGAGGCATGACTCTTCCTGAGGACGCGCGCTCACTATTAGAACTGAGTCCTAGCTTCTCACCATTACAGCCCACTTCTAAAGAAACCCTGCGTAGGATCGCGTGCAGCCTGCACCAACATCATGACAAACTTCTTTACAGAGCAAAGATAGACTCAATGCACAAAGTGGAAAAACAAGAAGTAGGAGCAATTCCAACACCTCCTTTCCCTCAGACGTTTTTCAGACAACAACAATTCAACGATAAAGTTGATTACAGGTTTCGCAATTTTTCGATCGATGCTCAAAAATCTCTCAAACACTATCGTCGTGAAAAACTATCCCAACCTCACAGCCACACAAAATGTGGCTTACGTAAGGTCTGAGAACTAATAATATCTAAGACTATCAGACCATCAGTCAAGGATAAAGGCGGAAAGTTTGTTGTAATCGCTCGTCAGTTGGATGTCAGTAATACGGATAAACATCTAGAAGACCGTTCCCTATACTGCCCATCGTGTGTTAAAGAATTTCGAAGTCAGTACCGAGAATTAACGACGGAATGGGCCCAATTGGCAAGAGCAGCAAGTTTGAAGCAGTCACACTCAGCATTCTATTTATGCCAAAAAATTCGTAACAACGTTCAACTCTATTATGACAACATTATACGGGTGCATGGAAGCACTACATTGCGTATTTTGTTCAAATATAAATAAGTACATAAATGAGAATTGGTGCTATTGCTGGCGTGTTTCAACGGTTTTGGCTCACTTTTCAGCTGTACATCAAAAAATCCAATGATTATTTGACAGCAAAAATTTGAACAAATTTAAGTGCTTTTGGTTCCCCAAAAAATTTTCTATTGCGTTGCAACACTAGAATTAAGATTGCGTTTCATAGCCTCGCGCATACTTGTGCATTGATATGTGGATGAATTTCGTAGCACTGACATTAAGCGATTGCGTTCTTCAAAAACATTCTGAAGTCATGATAACAGCGATTTTATCTTTCGTACTTACCTCGTGTTCGATGTAAGCCTTCCAATAGCGTCCAGCATTAGGAACTGCGTCACCAATTTCTCATAGAAATTTCGAGACTGGTCTATCGGTCGTGCCTACAACAATCGACTGAGTATAGCAAAGATGGGCGCCGAGAAGATTACATGGATGAGAAATGCGGTGTAGCACCAAGCTTCAGCCTTTCGGGACCATAAACTCAACCCCCTTCATCTCTAACACCCAGCGTGCTGCGTCTATCAATTTCATGCTGAGGTTGGGTGCAACAGGGTAAGCGTTAGAGACGCAGAGGGCTGGGTTCACGGTCTCGAAAGGGTTGACCTATCGCGGACAATTAAGGGCCCCTCGACCTCCTCGACTTTTCAAAGGTTTTTCTCGCTCCACAAACCGTTCTATTTAAAATTTTAGTGGTCACTCGAAAGCTTAAATCTCAGCGGTTTTATAACTGCGCTTGTTTTCTAGAAACATCCTCTTATTGAGCTGCAGCAGCAAAAAATTGAATTACGTTTCATTTTCGGTTTGCTTTGTTTGCTCGGCCAAGCCCTATGGATCGCTGTTTATTAGAATTCTGATACTGATTCGACAGAGCAAATGTCGACGTCTCTGAAGCAAAATTTGGTTTTCGAAAAGGTTTTCGTAGTACGCAGTAAGAGTGAATGTAAAATTCCGGTTCACAGTCGAACTTTTCTTTGCGCACAAGGCTATATATGCACAAAAGTGTATAAACGTGTAGAAAAAGCCATGTTCTGTCAAATCAATACAGAAAACTCACAAAATTTTTCTTAGAGCATAAAAAATCCTTATAAAATAACGAAAATCGCTCGCCGCTTGTGATATCGATTATGCCGCCGTCCGTAAGAATTAAGCCTAAGCTTACAGCACTCAAGCAAATATAGCGAACAAGAGCTTCGAGAAAATCGATAAAAGCTGACAAAGTGCATACCTGTGACTCTCTGAAGATTAAATTCCATGCGTCTATATCGAAAGGATTCAGCTCGATTCGCCTCTCAGGAGTTAGTATTGAAGAACTCGCCATCACTGAAACGACAGGTGGACGTAGAAGAGTAGCAGCAACGGCATAGATCAAATCACGCGACGTAAACAGCCAACAGAGAGCAAAACAGGAAAAAAGAGATTAAATTTCTCTCACTAGAAATCGAATGATGAATAAGATGCAAAATTTGAACGTCAACGGGAATCGAACCCTCATGTCACCCTTTACGAGAGGGTGCGCTAAGCAACTGCGCTACCGAGGCTCCTGCTCTGCCACCACTTTTTCTGTGATGCAAGACAACTTTGACACTTTTTTCCGTTATCCGCACACTGTTTCGACCGCTTCAAAAAACCGTACTTTTTGGTTGCCGTGGAGAGAAAAGATTTATGATTTTTCTAGCGATCTGGATTGGATCTCTACTTTTTCCGTTGGCAAGCTTCTTCTTGTATAGGCCGAGCTGTTGTCAATCTCGTAGCTAGACTGGATAGCGCAACTATTTCATGATGTGGTGAAGATACAATCGCTTCATTCTTTGGAGTGCTAGCTTTTTTGACTGCTTTTTAGTAGATGACGGCGTGGACTCATTGGATGTCTTCGATTTTGTTGGTGTTTCAAGGTCGTCAAAGAAACTGTTCTTGAGATGAGCAGTGACGCCTTCGAAATTCTCGTCGTTTTTCAAATTGACTGGGATCGGTATTGTGACTTTTGGTATAGTTGTGGTGATTTCGACTGTACTGCCTGTCTCGGATTCAACTGCGACGTTCTGAGTAGAGTTATTGACCACAGCAAACCTTGCGTCTATCTCACTTGTGAAGTTTGTTGACAAAGCAATATTTAGATTTGCAGCTTCGTGATCATCTGCTTCTCTTAGATGACCTTAAAGTCGATAAATTTACTGAATGACGAAGTGAGAAAAATATCTGAAGATTTGAAATTCCAAAACTAAGTGGAGAAAACTCGCAGTGGATTGTTCACATGAATGTCTTCAATGTGATTCTAACTCGGCTTTTCCACTAAAAGCTCAAGTGGACTAAAAACAACAAAAAGACGATGAACTATACCTTGGTCATCAGTGTTTTCGTCACTTGCGGCACTGAAAAGGATATCACTAGGAACCATCTTGGTTTTCTCAAAGGAAAAGAAGGAATTTCTTTTAAAAAGGCGAATAACTCACTTTGATAGTGCGACAAAGAGTAAAACGAGATAGAGTATTCTTGTCATATGGACCGCCATCATTTACACTTGTTCCAGGTTGCCTTAGAATGTCCCAGCCGACGGCTACCGTTACTTATCCCCCTAAAAGAAGAAAATGATATTAGGGCAAGAAGTTCTTCATTGGCATCACGGGCTTTCAAACATGTCGATTATCTATGTACTAATGGTAGACAGATGAAATAGATCACTTGCTCACTATTAGGCATCGAGCATTGAGAGCCAATAGTGCTAATACAGGATTAGCATGCATATGCACGAGCATATATGATATATATATATATATATTTATGCACACATACTTATGTATGCACATATATCTGAATATGCTTATATATATGAATATAAAAGGAAAAGGATAAAGCTCTCGGCGTTGATCAATCCCTGAGGGATGCGTCATGCATTCGTCTTCAATTTCTAAATTCGTTTGAGGTGATTGAATGCATATCTGGCCTTTACAATGACTCGCGGTGGCCTCCCGCTTAACCGAGTCAGTGCTGCTTATCCTCCCAGATAGTCTGAGAACAGTCCGGTACCAATTTATCGACCCCGGAGGATGGAAGGCTTGGTGAGCCATGAGCGCGAGATCGAATTCATCGAATATATATGTATATATATATAAACTAAGAGAATTGAGTAGTGAACAAAAACACGGCCTCAGGCGTGAATCGAACCCACGTTTCATCCTATCCGGGGACGCGTGCTCTACCACTACACCACTGAGGCACATTTGCCCGACCACTCATTCTTCAACATCTCAATGTTAGCTATCAGCCACCAACCTTTGACAGGTTTGGTCGGGTATGCGATTTCGCTTTATAACCCAGTTGAGCTGATAGCTATTCTATTTACTAATACTTCGAAACTATAGTATGTTTTTGTTCACTACTTAATTCTCTTAGTTATACAAGTAACGTAATAACACTACGAAAAAAGCAGTGAAAATACTATATTTTCGAAGTATTAGTAATAGAATAGCTATCAGCTCAACTGGGTTGTATAAAGCGAAATCGCCATGCACCGACTTCAATACCTTCAAAGGTTGGTGGCTGATAGCTAACATTGAGATGTTGAAGATGAGTGATCGGGCAATGTGCCTCCCGCTGCCGTGTAGTGGTAGAGCACGCGTCCCGGATAGGATGAAACATGGGTTCGATTCCCGCCCTGAGGCGTGTTTTTGTTCACTACTCAATTCTCTGTTATCAAGTAACGTAATAACACTGCGAAGAAAGCAGTGAAATACTATAATTTCGAAGTACTATATATATATATCTATATATATATATATATACATATATATAGATACATATATATATATATATATATATAACAGGTACAGGTAATAAGAACAGGGATGAAAAGCTATATGGTACAGGTAAGAAGATTCAGAAGAGTATCTTACTGTACTCGCGCGAAGTTGTTGTATCCTCTTCAAAAATGATAGCTAATCATTTCGGCGACTTCTCCTTCGTCTGAGCATATACTCTTCCAATCTTTGCCCAGTAAATGGTTTTGCATCATTGATCATGATGTTGACTACAACATTCATTAATTGGTCTCTCTGGGTAAATAGCAATTGAATTGACACAAGTGTCGTAATGCTAAGAAAATTATGAGACAACCTAATCAATAATCACAAGAGTTCTTTCTTCATGGGCTTTTGGCGGCTGGCTACTGATTGAATCGATACCTTATATCACAAAAGGAGTGATAGCAAAGCGGGAGCCCTGGTAGTGCAGTGGTTAGCATGCATCCCATGAAAGGAAGAGACGCTGGTTCATCTATTGCCCAAAGTTCAAAGCTTCGCATATTAACCGCATTGAATAAATCAACATCATACCAATACTGTAAAGGAGTAATCAAGAATAGTTTCTGTCTACTGGTTTGTAAGATAGTTTCCATTATTCAATTCGAGATTGAGTGGAAATTAGTTTTTCGATATTTCAGAAGAATGAGGCGCTAATGGGTCTAGCAGTGAAAAACTGGCATTAAATTAGTTGCGGACTGATATTTGTTAGGCGCCGTAAACATTTGGCATATTGACGACATGTAAGTCCCACATAACCCACATGGATTCTTACACTATTGTACAAGGAAATATTTACATCACCTGTATCACCTGTCGTCTCGTTGATCGTCGAGTGACTCAAGCAGGTACCAGCAACTCTTCCATTTTTCCCTATCGCGTGCAAGAGTAGCCCAGTGGGTCCTCCTCGCTCTAGGAATTCGCTGAGCATCATATCTTTCTTCCATCGCTTTCGTGAAGAAATCGGACCAACGGGTGCAGTGGTCTTCCTTTAGAGCGCTTGACGTCCCGAGGAATCCAGTCGGTAACGGCTCTCGTCCATCGGTTGTCGTTGAAGCGCATCACGTGTCCGGCCCACCTTATTTTCGATATCCTGGCGTGTAGAACGGCGTCTCTGATTTCGATCGTTGACGTAGGTCGGAAGTTCGGATCCTTTCTCTCATTTGCGAAATACGGGATACTCCTAGCATCGACCTTTCGACTGCGCGTTCGATAACTCCAAGTGATCTTTCAT